TTCAGTTACCGCTCTCAGAAGTCTTTACTAGGCGTCTAATTTGACAAAAAACCTGATTTTTAGCAGGCTCAAATCCGGTCGGGCAGTCAGAAGTCCCAATTCCTTTACTGTAGCCGCCCTTTGTCAAGTTTCCTTCTTCCATCTGCACCCAAACTGTCTGAAAACCCATGAGAAACTGAACCTTAATTTCATCCTTTTACAACTTGTGGAAGAAAACGGAAACCCAATCTCCTCCTCCACACTGCAGTCGTATCCGAGGGTCGCAGATTCAAAATGAAATATGATTCCCGGATTCCTGTTAGGACGCAAAAGACAAACTCTGAACGGAATCCCATTACAAGTTTGGGCCAAATGATTAATACGCATTGAGCTACACGGCCTCTGAAGATTAAACTTTTCGCTTCCTATTCATGGAATACAACACTGAATCCTTTCCAGCCGACAGAGGAAACGCGCACGTTTGCACCTTATACCTAGAATGCTTTCATACTAACTATTAGGCTGCCGCACATAAGATATTAATAGACCTCTAACCCTATTTTTTAGATTTCACTTCAAACCTCTCAATTAATACCTCTTAGAACAGTTCTTAATCCAGCGAAAAGCACGAAATCTCAGAAGTAATTCTCGAACCAACTCATGCAAACTCCGAAATGAAACAAAGAATCTCCATACAGAAAGCTAGCACAGTAATTATGTAAAATTCATCGCTGGCCAAAAAAATAATTACTGCAAACTTCTTTAGAGCGACGCAGCTTCCGTCACCTCGATATGCACGCCGGTAATGGTAATCTGTGAAAAAAGGACTATTAAGTCAGCTTTATATAACCACGATTCAATCTCTTTAAAAAAACATTCTTATAATTATTAACACATGAGCTTCTTTGGTTGCACCAATCAAATGTCAACACATTCAATAAAAACTGCAATTCTCATTTGGTTTAAGCGCCACATTTAGCTGCACGTTTCCAAAAAGGCATAAATAATTCATGAAAAATGTGACAACACTTATAACGCAAAAAATGTTATGTTACATGAGCTTGTAAAACTTATTATGTAACAAAAGCAACATCAGATTACGAATATAGCAACCCGGGTGCAAAATAAGCAGAATAATTACAAATCCTAAATGTCAAAAAAAAGGACTCCAAACGGCAGCTTATGTGGAACTTGATAACAAATTTGCTTAAGGTAACAAAACCACTGAAAACTAAAAAGCTATACAAAGTAACTATAAATTATAGAAGGAAAACGACCACAAAAAACAGAGATTAACGCAAAGTATCTTTTACGAAAACCCAACAATTGTCAGAAAGTGCAGGATCTGTAGACAGAAGAAAGCGAAGAAAGTGACAAACAAATTAGTGTTAGAAATCTGAAAAAGTGGAAGTTCAAGTGAATACAGACACTACTGGCAACAGCAAGAATGAA